CAACTTTACTCCCTTTGTATTTATAGTAGAATTACCAAAATTCCACAACGCATAGGTAAGAACTTTATCTGTGTCATAGCGTCGTTATTTTTTTGATAACATAAATATAATTATAGTTATAAGCTTAAGAAAATACATTTATTTGTTATTTTTTCATTAAATTACTTAAAATTATTGGTTTGTGCTATCAAAAAAATAACGACGCTATGACACAGATAAAGTTCTTACCTATGCGTTGTGGAATTTTGGTAATGCTACTATAAATACAAAGGGAGTAAAGTTGTCCCGCGCTAAACAGATTTTGCTATGTTTTACGTTTGTAAGACGGAGACAAAACATGCGGGTGTGGCGTCCTCTTAAGTGTGTGAAGTGCAGCGTAGTCGTACACGTGAACGGGTATTACCATTGATTATAAATACTTATATTTATAATCAATGGTATTACCACGGCTTAAACATTTCACTCGCTGTCTTTAAGTGACCAAGAGCGTTTCATTTTTCACACGTTTTGTGTCATTGAATTTTTTATTACTTATAGAATTGGATAACATGGTAAATGGAATATTTTATTTGCGTTGTTTATACTCCTATCGGGTATCAACGCTCGAAGTTTATGTTGTGAATGTTTTTTTTAATATTATAGTTGATGTTTTTATTGAATAAGGTACCTCATTGAATTTTTTTCTATAGGAATATTAATAAAGAATATCTGATATTGTACTATTGTATTGTTATGTCTGACAATACTTRGAAATCCCAATCTAAATATGGTTAAAAATAATTACTACCTTTGGCTAAATCATAAACCATATCGTATGTTTTCGAAGATACGTCGTCGTCGTTGATACGTACTGACGTACTGTTGTAGGTGCGTGATTAATGACATTGGACCGGACAGGTCGGTGAAAATATATTATTCAAAAACCGTTTGAAAACTACGACTCGGACAATCGTGTGTGCGTGTTCTACGAATTTTGAAAATAATCATAGGATATTGTGTGCGTTGTGCATGCAGCTTAGTACATTAATCTGTAAGGTTGGCCACTATATTCTGGATTCTGGGTATATTATATTATTATTATTATTATCGTGGACGGTGGACAATACCATACGGTGCGTTTCTACAATACACATCAAAATAACAATAATAATATGCTATAACGAAGTATATTTTTTTTTCTGTCATTTATATTTTATTATGATGAATACATCTCACGATTGTGAGCACCGTGTCCCTCCACCACCGCCTCAAMCATCGACCAKCCACACAATATCGTACCCCTATAATACGCATTCCTAACGTCTCCGTCGACCACGACGACGTCTGGTGTTCGGTTTTTTTTCTTCAAGCAGAGTTAAACCCATAAGACGTTATCTAACAGACGTCTGGAATTCCATTTTTACGACGGCACGACGCACAGTGCAAATCATTGTATGGTTATCATTATTATTATTATACGTCTATTGTGCGGCTGGAAAAACCACATGTAAAATGTCCGCCGCCTTTGTGCCAATGATATTATTGTACCYAGAAGCAGATTTCGTGGAACAATAACTTTTATTATAGAATTTAAAGAATTTATATAAACGAATAAACGTCGAATTATTTTAAATTTTCGAGAGAACGTAATAATATTATATACACCGTTTTACGCAGTCGATTTCCATGCTCGAGCATAACGTATTAACGTCACAGATAAAATAAAACAATTTGTTTCAAATTACATTTATTCTGTGACTATATTTCTAAAAAAGTTCATTTTTGGATCCTAAATTTAAAGTTTATCATTGCAAATGGGATGCACAACTTCAAACGGCGATTTCTATACCGATTACCGTTTCACAATATGGGAAGTGCCCACCGAGTGCGCTACAAATACGAATATACGATAGTGCAATGTTCGTCGGTTGTTCCGTGTTCGTCCTCGTCAGCGTCGCGTGTGCACGACCGATTAACGGAATAAAACATAATCGTGTGTGACGACGTGACTATAATACAACATAATAATTAAACGCATTTTAACGATAATTAAATAACTAAAATAACAGTATAGGGGTACGGACGAGGCACATTTTTCCCGCGTAAATCTAAATYCACCCTAAACCGCTTCGTTTTCGGGACATTTGGTAGACATCAACGACGACTAAGACGTGGTTTAAATATCACGGATCGTCTTAACCCGTTAATTCGTCGCAGATTCATGTTCGAACGTGACACGGTCGAAATGAATGGAAACGTGTGTAGCCCTATTTTCCCGCCGACTCACCCTACGATCGCGCACAACAACAACAACAATAATAGTAATAATAATAATATATCGATCACGGTCGTCGCAGTCGTCGCCGCCGCCGCCRGTGCCCGATAGTGGGGCGCATGCTCGACACGAGACCGAGACGAGTGCCGCCACACTAGAGGCGGCTACCTTACGCGTTCAGTAGTTGCGGTCCGCCGGCGAGCACTTATTGACATTTCGACAGTCTGCCGCGCGCSCACCACGTCGGTTATTCCCTCTCATCATTGCCGTTCGTTTGTTAAATTGTTTTTGCCGCCAAAATTTCCAAAGGTGAGTTTCGCCAACGCTGAGACGTCATCAATACACATTTTATTAATAATAACATTGTCGTACGATGTCATGATAATAATAATATTATGAAGTATTAATACGGTCGACGGGCATCGGTGTTTGCTGCTCCGTCGTCGACGTTCGATTTCATTGCACGCATTACACGATGTGTTATTGTTGTTGTTGTTGTTGTGTAGTAGTGCACGTGTTTTTTTTCACACATTATTTGTACCTCACCACACGACCACCGGCTTAAGTTCACCAAAGGGCCTTTTTAATCGACGACCACGTTCTGCGTTTTTTTTTTTTTTTCAGGTACCCATAGGACCATCGCGACTTCAAGATGTCCGAATCGCTCTCGCTGACCGGCATCGGACCCCCGTCCGACACGTGAGTACAACGTCAATAATTAATTTTTTGTGCCCTGTAAACGCTGTTGTTGTCAGCGGTTACGATGATGTGCCTACGATACGGGAATTTTCGATTTTCTACCCACCAACGTGTTTGGTTTTTTGGCCGTTAACTAACCGAGAGTTGTATGGCAGAGGGTGTGGCCTTGGGGGGGTTGTTGTGAAAAAAGGTTAGAGGCATTGTAACGCTTCGCACACGACCGAGCACTCGGACGGCGGCACACGACGGACGACGAGATTTGTTGATCGTGCGATTAAGACCGCGGAGTTTGGAATGTTTTTGGACACTCGTCGCGAGTATAGTCAAAACAAATCGAAACTTCGTTYTCGGAGTTTGTGTCTTTTCGTCGCGCTCTTTCGGTCGTCCCGGCGGGGGTGTGAAGAAAATTCAACGTAAAATTTCGTTTGCGTTCGAACCACGCGTGTATTTCAAAAATGTGGGCACACGAAAACAAAACGGATCACTTTTACCTACCTGTAAAACCAGTTTTGGGTAAAATTCTTTCGGTGGCATACCSACCATGGGCGGGCGGGCAAGTGGGCGGCGGGCAGCTGTGGTGCCTGGTAGCCGSCGCGKTTCGAGTGTATTGGTAGAGCAGTTTTTGAAGGCGCGCTTAGGCCCTAACGCCGCGCACGAGAATTCGAATGGAATTACAGACAACCGCCGTCCGTACAGCCGTACCAACCATACCGGTACGATGYATTTTTCTGACGGCGCTTGGTACGAGGATCGGTTGACGTTCGCGTTCGGATAAAATGATAACAATATTATTACGTTTTACGGWGGTGGAAAAGTGACGAAACACGTGACATTCGTCGGGGATGACCAATGTTTAATGATTTCTAAATACARTGTAACAATAATTTGGAAGGTGCGCTATATATATTTTGTRCATAACATTATAATAATATGTACGCACCGATTATGTAAAAACAAAGTCAACGATCGTTTGGTGCTATTCGGCGTTTGCATTATACTTGCTAATAGATTTGATCAACTATTATGCATTTATGCAGCGAATGAGAACAATAACTCAATGCACGGACGTCGTGAGTCGTGACGTTCGTATACATAATATATCATTTAGCGAGTGCGCCACAGAAACAAAAATATGCCAACGATGATTATTCTAATGACGAATATTATGCTTAGCGGTCGAATCGAATAGTTTTTAACAAAATTGTATTCCTTTTTATTGGTATTTTTCCAGTCGAGTTCAGAAAATAATATTGTACTTGAATGATATTGAGGTGCGGTGTCAGGCAGAGTTTTGGAGTAAATTATCGTTAAATCACGTGACTAGGTCAAAAATAGTWATTTTTTTTATTGTTTACGTTTGCGTTAGCGTTAATACGATTAATGAGAATAGGCAATCTATTTAATAACATTAATAACATTTCCTATTACAAATTAATATATTATTGTGGTAACTAATTTAATTTATCATATTATATTATTGTTGTGTACCTCAATAATTTATCATATTATATTATTGTTGTGTACCTCAATAATTTCACAAAGATTATTATTGTTTTTTTATCTTAAACTTTGTACCAGGTAGTGATTATACTTATTCGTTTCTATTCGAGTTTATATTCGATCGTGACGTTAATTGGGTACGTTCGATCCACAATGAAATCATGATGCCTATCGATTACGGTGTTATTTGTAATTAGCTTGCTTATTTTGGCGTCGACCCTTTGCAACCATAGTGTCCGTTTATTTCCTATAAAATAGTTGCAAAACGTCCAAGCGAGTAACCAGATACCATACCCTGGGGTTCTGGTCGGATGGCAGTGTAATAATTATCATTTGCCCGAACGACTAACCCAATATTATTTATAATTATTAATTTATAATAATTGTGACATGATTTCCTTCTTCTTGATGCTGTGACTTGATACTATATTACTACAGTTACACGAAATTAAGTTCTTAACTTTAATTAATTAGATATTTCCATTTTCCATCATTTGTTTTTTTACGTTTTAAGTGTGGATGTTTTTTTTCTAACGTCTGCCAAATAAACGGTTTTTTTGCCTACGCTATCGGTTGACCGTTGGTACTGCGTTATTCTTAACGGATTGTTTTGTAAGCAGGACAGATTATTCGTTTTTAATCCGTTGTCTAATGTTCGTTTAGACCATAGTAGCTCTAAGCTGGATGTGTTAAAAATTAATAATATGTCTATCATCYAAAAAAAATTGTGTTTTAATAAAAAAAACAGATCTTGTACGCTGGGGCATTTCGTATAGTTCCGGTCGACGGAACGTTGCGCACARGATCATTGTTCTTGTTTCGTTCTTATTATGAGCTAATGACTTAATGTACTCGTTTTTCACTGGTCGCCGGATATTGTTGGCTTGCCCGTGTAAACTTATATGCCTAAAATAAACAGACCCTGAGAATTGCAATTAACTACGATATATTATTGTAATGTTCACACCRAGCCAATACATTTCGGAAAAAATTCATGAAACGAYAATAACATAATACCATGTATGTTRCTCGGTTCCTTTCAACAWTCGTCTGCACATTWTAATTATTGCAACTTATGGTGTTGCTGTGTCACATTTGATACGTTTTCATGGTAAAAATCAGAATACCAAAACAAGCGAAGAAAGAAACATTTATATTTTTCTTACAATTAGTTATAACAAGGAACATCGCAAATTCAAATGTCGCAAACTTGTCAGTCATCTCAGTGTGTACGCGTTTTTTGATTTCTCTATCCAATTGTGGTTTATACTAAATACTTAATATAGTACCAGTGTATCACAGAAATTCGAATCTCCAACAGTGTAATCACACGGGTGTTTGAAAGTCTTATCTCCATATTGTAAACGATTTTATTTTTCGTTTTCGATATTTTAATCAATTTTTGATAGTTACCATTTTTGTCRTCATGTAGGTACTTTTGGAATAAACATAGATAGGTAATGACATTCAAGCTCAGGTTGTTATCATTAAGTACAGAATAGTTGCCCAACAAATTTGCGTACAAAATATCAATATATTTTCTTACTTGATTGTTATACCCTTTACGTTGAAATTTTTGTTGTAATCATCAAATTAAACATCTAAAACTCATTAGTTAATTGTCAAGTATATTGTATTGTTTTTTCTTATAGTTATTAGTTTATCATTGCGTATTGATATAACGGCAAAGTTTTTTGAAAATTTAGATTTTTTCAATAAATTTGTKATTCAAATATTGTTCAAATATTTACATTTGTTTTTGTATACAAAATAATATGTACAGAAACTCAATTTTTTTAATACTTGAAATCATACAGTATCGTTGTTGCATTAATGATATTTAAAAATATGGATAATAGGTACTTAGCGGTAATGAATAATTATTAAACGTATAATCGTGATTTGTATGAAAATTAACAATTTATTATAAAAGCAGTCGATCCTTGACAGTGATGATAATATTTTAGATAAATGTCGTACATTTGATTTTTAGTAATAAATAGGTACCTATAGTTAAAATCAATATTATATATATATTCTTTATTATTATCTATATATATTATGTATAAATTCTATAATTTAAAAATCAAACTACGTTTTTGGGTTTCTGATTTTATTTAACTGCATTCATTTTCATTCCCACGCATACATCTGAAAATAATGTATTCTAAATTCTAATTTCGATTTAACAAAAAAAGTAAAACGTTTATTCACAGCATATTTTTTAAGTAGGTAGTAGGTACAGTTATTATAGCCGTCTAATGTCTAGTCTACATACATAAGTCTACAATATGTACTTTAATTTTAAAGATAGTATAATATTAGTAACTACGAATTAAATGTTTTTAAACATTAGAATATTAGATAATTTCCAAGTTCAATTAAATGCGATTAAATATTATACTTTTTTTTTGTTGATAACACTTCTTAAGTAGGTACCTAAATTTATTACAATAACTAAATTATTACCTATTATTTATGTTTTTTTTTCATGAGCTTTAAATATTAAATTATAATAGATTTATGTTCTTAAAATTCTTTTGATATTATTATTAGAAAACATTCCAATAAAATTTAAATGTAGTATTTACGAACTGAACAAGATTACTTGAATATAATATATTTAAAATGATTTCATTAACAAATTAAATATTTTAACCGTAGTCTTATCTTATTTTTATAGTTAATTAATCGATTTTTTCAATTTAATCATTAAATAGATATTGTACAATGAATATATTATATTGTGGATTTAAATATTAGTTTGGAAACGTGTTTAAAATATATTTACAGCGCTTAAAATCTTGATCGAATGTATGAAATCGTTGAATATTATATTAAAATACGTCATAGTAAATACTAAAATACCGAGTAAAATGCCTATTGGCTGTCAGGATTATAGTTGAATATATTATAATATATCATTGTAGTATATAAACATAGTTAGGTATTTTAAGTTATTGTGAGATTTTTTCAAAATATTTGACAATCTATGTATTATTCCAAACTCTTAAACTCGTCTTGACCAAAGTTTATTCGATTGTTTTACCAGTTAAAAAATATTCTTCTCCGTCAAATACGTATAATATCTTTGGTCAATTACGTTTAGCAGCTAAGAACTACTCGTTTATTTGTCCATATTGTGTATTATATATATATTATATTCAGGATGTGTGTAGTTCAGCTACACACGATTGTCCGWAACTCGGACATTAATAAATTCAATAAAACACCATAGAAAGAATGTTGTCACGGTAAAATAACGTGGAKGGTCGACTGTACTGTTGTGAGTTTATGATCATGGAATCCTGGTAACTGGTAAGTATTCGTTGGAAAGTGAAATACTATTGTGAAATTATTGTTAGTGTGAGAAATATCAGGCGTTCGGTATATTAATATTTTTATTTCGTGTATACATTTTACTCTTATCTTCTGTGAATATTGAATATTAAAATTTGGAAGTAGATACTTACCAAGTATAATATTGCGCCAATTATATTTTAGTTTAAAGTGGGCAAAAACCATAAAACAAAAACTTATTTATTTCTTAAAAATTAATTATGTTTTATTAATTCACTATATATTATTAGTAATTGAATCATGTATAATATGATATATTTTTAATCTTATAGGTCAAAGTTATTTTTTCGTAACTTAGAAATAAATAAATAAAACTATAGTGCTTATCTAATGACAAAAAAAAGTTTGCAACTTTGATAAAAACAACTATAAATTGTCTTCCGATGAATTCTTGAATATAAATAAACTGGGCAATATTTTATCTCAAATCTCAATGCGTTGCGGCAAAGCTTTTCTTATCAATTTATCATATGTCCAGAAAATATTAACACTGATACTAAAAATTGGCAAACCTAATAGTACCTATATAACCGTTAAATTTGTATTTTATTACCGTTATTCCTATTACTGCCCTAGTTTTATTTTATTCGAATTTGAATTATTTTTATTTTTATGTTATTAATTATTATATAATATTAGGCATACCACAAAGTAGTGTTTTTTTCCATACTAAAATCGTGAACATGAAATTAAATACTTATAATTTATTCTATAGTATTTAATTGTGCTATTAATTATAAATGAACTAAATACCAATTTGTATTGCTACAAAATTATATTTTTTATGATTGAATTTGTCTCAATTCATTTTATTCCGATTTTAAATTTGGTGATTTAAATTATCCTTCAACATTTATTTTTGTATACCATTCAATATTTGAATTTATTTATTATTTTCCGCCCAAAAGTTAGTTGGTACGCCGACTACGGACTTACATTATCTTGTATAAACTAAATAAATAAAAACTATTGTGTTGTTTATAATATTATTACGGTACACAATTATTTTTTCAATTTTTATTATTAAATAAAGTTTTACTGACGTAAATCATCTTAACTTATTGTTCATCAAATTACATTTTTTTTTAAACATTTGACAATTGATAACAATTAGAATAATATTAGTAATAAGATATCGGCTACGTTTTGGTATTTAGTAACTCGGTGACAAAAAAAAAAAAAAACCAATTATTTTGGTACATTCGTTTTATAGTGCAGCATTTTTATGGCTGGGAACAAAGATATTCTGAAAACGTACAAGGTACAACAACTTTATAATATTTACTAGTTTTGTTCTATGAAATAATGACTACATCTCTACGATTTTATACTCGAAAAATAAAGGAAAGGAACGGTGTCGACGGAGACGATAAACCATGGGGCCCTGGTAGCCATTTCTATGAACATATTACAAACGCAACAACTCTCTCAACGTTTTTGCTCTATCTAAAAATTCGATCCGTAATATTCAAAGTGCATTTATTCAAAATGCGTCGCTTTTAATTGGTTGTAGCAAGCATAGTAAATACGTTTAAAACTTTAAACTCTTTTTTTGATCATGACGTATTTTGGTATTCGTTACATAATTTTATCCTCGACTTGAATTATAGATGTGTATTATATTTCAGCATTATATTTGTATCGGATATTTTTTAATTTATAATWTTTCGTGGTTTCTAAACTTTGAACGAAAATAAAATGCCCAAAAATACACAGACTTCTTTCTGTTATTTATTTTTTTTTTATGATCATGATGTACTCTAAGTATTGTATTACCATCGAATATAGTTACATCAATTATATTATGTAAAATTAACTGGTACAACGTTAATTTTTAAAGCATTGTGACAACAAAATTCCATTACATAATAATATCTTATCGAATAAAACAAAAAAAATTAATTTAGTGACATTATAAAGATCATATTACAATTATTATCTTTTTTTGTAGATTTTTCATTTTAATGTTCTTTAAGTTAATTCATTTATAGCTGTCGATTTTCCAAAAACTATATCAATGATCTTCGTGTTGATAATATTAGCAATAATTTTATGTTTCTATATTGTGCTTAATGTTGATAAATAACCAAATCATCTTTGTACCATGCATTTAACCTATATCATTTAATTTACTTACCCTATATTTTGCAATAGTTCCCATATAATTTAATATTGTCGAATCTTAAGGGTAATATTAATAAACTGCTCCAAAACAACTTAAAAACTTTCGACTTCAAGGGCAAGAATTAAGCACATTAATTGCTCTGATTTTTAATATTAATTACTAACAATAGTCAATAGGTATATAATAATTCATTGTGAGTGAAGTTGGTTTACAATTTTATTTTATGCATAGAATCAGTTGTTAGAAATTGTAATTTATTGTTAATTATTGTATGTATAACCAATATAATATACAACATTATAATATATTATACCCATATAATGCAAATATTATTTAATGGTGCTGAAATTGAATTTTAGATRCTTAAAAAGTGGRGGGAATATAATTCTATATAATTTTCCCTAAATATTCTTACGTGTGTGRTAGTCACGCCAGTATTTAATTACCTAAGTTATGTTAATTAAAATTCAATCGTATCGTTCTTTGTACTTTCAGCAAGAATCAAAAATCAAAATCGTACGCTGTGAATGTGCAACAGGAAAACATGTCGCTCAACGCCAATGGATCTCCGCCATACGATCCTCACGCGCATAGGATACTTGAACATCCCACCACGTGAGTACCATAAATTGACTAGTTAATTTACAATATTGATAGTAAAATCATAAAAATCTCTCGAACAATTGAAGTGATGTAGAAAGTTATAAAATTAATAACAGTCGACAGACAAAAATCGAATTACTTACAAATTGAATCTTATTAGCATACATTTTTTGAAATTTTTTTATAAGTATAATAATATTATAATGGTCGAGAGGAACAAAACAACCCATATGTTCAGTATACTAATTTTTCATCTCATAAAATATTGATCATTACTTCCAATTTCGGAACTATAGCTATACATGTTGTAGGTACTATATATTATTTTACTATCATACCCGTTTTTGTATAATACAATATAACATCTATATTATGTACATGACGGTTAAGGTGTTGSCTATTACCACTATAAAATTATATAATATTATTATTTATTTAAACGAATCAAATAAGATCGAGGATAGTGTATATATTAAAAAAATTACCTAAGCATTATTACTTATTAGACCCGGATCGTTGTTCGTGTCGTGATGTTTCTATGATAATTAATAAGTACTACTTTTTAGATTTTGAAATCTGTTGGTATTCGTTTCTTATTCATTAGATGTTCAGAGGACTTGAAAATCTCTAAGTATATATTATGCTCTTACGCACTTAAAAACTTGYTCAGGAAAAATATACACTTCGTTATTATAGAAATAAAAATACGATTAATATATTTATGTGAAATAAATTCCGTCATCTACATCCAGGAGCTAGGACATACACAAGGGGGGGTGGATACTTTGCATAATAAATCGTTTGACAAAATTATGACTGAGAACTAGTTGATTTCCTATACCCTGTCGTGTCATTTCGATCGGATACGATATTAGTATATTACTATAGCGAAATTATTATTAATATTAATAAATGTGTTTTTATCTGTCCAAAGTAATTCAACACTAACACTATGTTGTGTTAGAAAAAATGCTTACCATTTACCACGTATGCGTGATCAAATAAGTACATAATTCGTGTCATAAGTAGGTATATACCATACCAGTATATTATAATACGCTCGTACGCGTTCCACAATGAACGATAATTATTATTACCATTGATCGACGGCGTGCACAGTCATCGCAGACAAACAATGTTATGTTCATTATACAAGACTTGTCTGTGCACGCGTTCGATCTATCATCACTGTGACAATTATAGACAACAGTGATATACTTAAAAAAAAAACGTATCGCATGTATAATATTAATGATATTAATTGACAACTCGCAGGCCGTATAGCTAAGTTCAAATTGACGACTCTTCAAACGCGTTCGTATCGACCGACGACCGTAGTCGTACTGTCATATACTTGTAAAATATTGTACCAATAATCATTGTTGTTGTCGCAACGCCCGCAACCGCTTATTTCGATATTAACCGCATACCACGTTTAATATATCGTCGAGTATATTATGTCCGTAATTTATTATTAATTAATAACGTCGTTAATTGTTAACGACGTCCAATTCGTGTATATATTTTTGACCATTACGACGTATGACGAGTGATAGCTGTGTAATAAACATCATCACTGTTGATGCGCTATGGTACGATTGATGTGACTGCTAATGTCATACCTAATAATATAATATATTAATTATGTTTACGTTTTATCTGTTGCCGCTTGTAGAAATTCCGAGACGCTCATCCACTTGCTCAAAGGCAGTTTGGGAACCGGGATTCTGGCTATGCCCAATGCCTTCTACAACTCCGGATTGCTCGTCGGGACCGTGGGCACCATACTTATCGGTATCTTGTGCACGTATTGTTTGCACGTTTTGGTAAGTGTAACGTAGTCCGGAAACGATTTTTTTCATGGGGGCAAAAAGAGAGAATTGACTATTGCTCTATGCACAGTTGTGTACTGATATGATACGTTTTGCCAGGTCCTGGTAAAACGGATGTGTCCCACGTCCTGGTAAAACGGATGTGTCCCACACGTGACCACGTCGTCCTGCGGAAGGATTGGAAGAATCATCAGGAACTGGTTAAATGCACTATGGTTCGACATATATATAATTAAAAATACTGTAATTATTATGCTTTTGTGTTTCACCCGGACCCGCCAAAAAACGCATAAAAAAATAATTGCTTTAGTTTTAACACTGTAGATGTCACACTATAGTGCGTTTAACCGGTTCCTGTGGATTTTAGCATTTCCCGTACCACCGGACCGCGACGTGAAGCGGTCAAATGGCACGTCCGTTTTACCCGAGGGGGAGAGATGGCTAAACCACATTTTTTAGAGAATTCTTTTTTTTTAATTTGAATGATTCGATTGAAATAATTCATAATTTAATAGTACCTATTTTTTACTATAATGAGTACTTAAATTATTGCTACCTATTTTTACTATTTTTAGTACTTATTATACTGAGTACTACAATGCAAGAAATTTAACAGAATTATTTTCTAATTATTTTTTGAAATTTTAAAAATAATGTGCTTCTGATAATATATTAAATTGTTATTAAGTAAAAAAAAAGATTTACAGGGAGTAGTACCATAACCCATTCGATCTGTTAAACATCTTAGCTATATTCAGGGGCCGGAGTGGCGCAGTGGTCACGCAGTTGATTACGACTCACACATTCATCGGTTCGATTCATAGCAAAGTGCAAAAAAAAAATTTGGGTGGTTCTACGTGATCACTAAATCCCCACGCTGTCGTCCGATTGCGTCATCCGGTTTCCAACTAAGTCCCACTCCACTGGGAGTGAAGACCGCACATGTCTCCTCTTGGAGAAGGGGGGTAGTATCATATATATWTAGTGATATATACATAGATAAATATATCACATGGTCTCCCTACTACCCACTTGTGATAAGCATTGACGAAGACCTAGAGGTCATTTCAATGAACAAATAAAAAAAAAAATTTAGGTATGGGATTTAACCCACTAAATTTAATGGCTCTAGCCACGTATGGGTAACATAATAATATGATGTATAGAGTCACCTACTGCTCGGTATACAGACGTTTACTAAGTTTTCAATATTTACTGTTTTTTTTTTCTTCTAGGTCAGATCTCAGTACCTATTATGCAAGAGACACCGAGTACCCATACTCAGTTACCCGGATTCCATGAAATACGCACTACAAGACGGTCCGGCCTTTTTGAAATTCGGAGTTCCTCTTTCTGCGTTGGTGATTTTATTTCAACACTTATACTATTATGCCTATATAATGCCGTGTAAATATCTGCGCGTTCTTAAAAAAAAACTATGCAGTGACACTTTGATCGCGTATTTTAATAAAACAAATAAATATTGGTATATTTCTTTCGCCCACGCCACAAAAAAAAAAAAATTGCGTGACAAATGACTATCAACGAAATGAAATGTTATAAGTTATAAATATGAATAATATTATTTAACATTAAAACGGGTGTCTGTTTTTTAGTTTTCATTTAATTTTCTGAAATTAAATTATCCGTAATATATATCTTATGAACGTACATTCCACATGTTGGTACATGCAAATTATTGCATAACACGGCCTATATTATAGTACCTACTTTTTAGCGTTRAAGTGTTCACTGTGTTCACAGTTAATGATAATATAACTAATTGTCAATTCTATATATTACTCTCTTTGCTACGTATAATTGTCTAGGTACCTATACYTAATTGTGGTTTATGTTTGTATACAACATGTTTTCTACATAAAATATATTTTAAAATATTATGTGCTTTTATCTGAAAGTTATCGTAAAAATATATTAGAAAATAAAATAGGTATAAATAAATGAAATGAGATATTGAATATTAGTTAGACTAGGTGTTAGATCATCATAATAATATATGCATAATATCATTTTGAAAAAAAATGTAATTCCTCAGTTTCCGCCTATATATGTAGTAACTAGTAAGTATCGCAGTAACGATATACTTCCTACCAACGTGTTTTAATCATCATTATTACGACCTTGGCGGGCCGTTTAGATCACCAAGCGACCGTTATTATAATAATATTTATACCGCCGTGTTAAAGCTCTTAAAAAGTTTAAAAATAAACACGGTAAATAACCCTATTAATTGTATAGGTACATTATTATTTAGTGGCGTATTTGTAGTATTAGCACTATCGTTTGCAATTATTATAACGAACTACTGTTTTTTTTTTTTTTTTTTATGCAGAATTATCGTTGACGGGTTCTTGATCGTCTACCAACTAGGAATATGTTGCGTATACATCATGTTCATCGGGACCAGCATCAAACAGGTTAGTAATTAAGTGATTTTGATATACATGTAGATTTATCGTTTAAGCAAAGTGTGTGACGTCAATCATAAGGGCGTTTTTGGACATTTTAAAAAGTTAGAGTGCTACACGAAATTCTGAGCCTTTTGCCCTATCCCTCCCACGTAAAATTATGAATCTAAAATCGATTTATGAATTACATCTATGTACTTTTATAATAATAATAATAATTTTTTTTATGCGGACGGGGGTTTGCTGTTTTTGTTCTTGATTTTATTATAATAAGTAATTCTTAATATTAAAAGCGCATAATGTTATAGTCACYAGACCTTACCTTGCATGACTATATTATAGAGTAAAGACCGTGGTCGCGTGTTAGGATTCGTCATTTGTATTTTCTATTTTGTCAATAGTTTTATTACAACAATAATTATTTTAATTGATTATTGTTGTAATAAAACTATTGACAAAATAGAAGAATAATTATTCTTACTGATTGTAAATAACTGAATTGTTTTC